CCCTGGTTCCTCAACACCTGACGCGGACCTTGTTGATCCGGGCGACGTCCGAGCCGGCATGCCTTCACGCTCAGTGAGAGACTGAGATTACCAAAAAGCACCACTGTCCAACACAGGAAAACATTCCTGCCTGTGGCCATCTCCCTGTACAACTCCTCCATCTAACCCTCTGTAATCACTGCAATAGTTACATCCTTTTTACACACACTCTTTTCTTACTCGATAATGTTGCTGTCATTATTCTTGATGATTATTTATAATCACATCTGTCAACCCTGGATATTTATTATTTGATGATTTGTATATGTTTTAACATATAGTACTGTCAAATAGTTTAGTCTGTTTTTGTTAATGTTACTGTGCTGGAGCAACTGTAACCCACATAATTTCCCTAGGGATTAATAAAGTATGCTGATTCTGATTTTTTGCCAGCTGATTACACGATTTGGCCTGATGAGGAAAAGCTGGGGTGTCGGACTCCAGTTTGTTGGTCTGGTGACTCAAACAGACTCTCCTCCACACAGTCCTCATTTATAAAGTGCTTTACAAACCCCACCATCACGGCTAACAGCTGGATTTGCCCGTTTGAGTGCAGCTAGCCAATTACCGAACCGTCACTTCCTGCTAAAGACAGACAGTAAAGTGGACAGTACATCCTGAGTTTAATATAAACTCATTGTTGCAGCACTGAAGTGATCCTCTTACACTGATGTTTAGTTTCAGTGTCCTTATTTTCCTCCGAGGTATCAATCATGTCACTAGTTGGCTAACATAAACTAATGTAAATGCCAACCAACCACATGACATCACGCTTGTACTGACAGAAGTTGGCGCTAAACATGTTTTTAAAACTTTGACTTTAATCATTTATTCCTTAAATCCAGCTTCACAGATAGAGTTACATCTGAGAGCAGGGCTCCATGATGTAAATGAGCCTTTATACGTGTAGTGTTTCAGGTCCCGGTTAAACATGAGCAACAGAGTGCTGACTGCAGTTCAGTCAGTAAGTGTTATAAATAACAGTGGTTAATGGGATTTTACATAGAAAGATTTAAAATCTTAGGCTGTTGTTTTTTTAATACCTGTACCTGAAGGCAACATTACCGACTCCAGTGGCTAACAGCTCCTCAGCTCTAAAACTGTGATGTCAAACTAAATAACCCTGGGTTCTGTAGATAACAAACATTATGAGAACATTGTAATCTCTTTGTCCCAATGACCAGGTCAAAGTGAGATTTGAGAAATGTACCCCACAGCAGTGCTAAAAGCTGAAATACAGAAACAAACTTCTTTTCCTGTTAGAAATGTTTGGCTTTATCAGTGCTTACCTGCTCCTATAAATGCTTATCTGGAGTAAAGTTTGACAACACTGCTCGATGAAAGAAGACCGAATCTTTCTCCACCCAGACCAAAGCCACAGGGTGGAGCATGTCTCTGAGTGCTGCTTCACCTTTGTTGTTTCATATCAGGTGCTCGTTACTTGTCCTCTGACCATTTTTTTATTGAGTTTTGTGTCTCTGATAAGGTTGTTTTCTCTGCATCTGTGAACTAATTTTATCAACTCAAGGCAATAATTTCCTGTCACGGTGCCTTGACAAAACATGATTATCATATTAGATTATTTCATGTTTATTTACTAATAATAACAGTCTGACCTCTTCTGCCTCAGTGTGGACCACGATGAAGAGCACTGGGTCGACCCACAGCTTCTGAACAAGTGTAAGTGTCACTGAGTTTCTCTGTAACATCGACTGAGCTGAAGCTTCACTCACTGCATCTCTTTCACAGATGCCTGTGATCTCACATTCGACCCCAACACTGTGAATGAAAACCTCGTCCTGTCTGAATGTGACAGGAAAGTAAGCAGCACTGAGGAAAAGCAGTCGTATCCTGATCATCCAGAGAGATTTGACCAAGTGAAGCAGGTGCTGTGTCGAGAGGCTCTGACTGGGCGCTGCTACTGGGAGGTGGACTGGGAAGCGTTTGTGAATATTGGTGTTGCATATAAGAGCCTGCCGAGGAAGGGACGCTGGGACACAGAAATTGACCATACTGACAAGAGCTGGTGTTTCAGCATCACCAATTCAAACGGTTACTCCTTCCGACACGGGTTGAGGGAAACTTTTATACCGGTCCCACACATCGACGTCCAAGCATTCCTGGCCAGACGCAGGAGACTGGGACTGTTTCTGGACTGGCCAGCCGGCACTCTGTCCTTTTATTCACTTTCTGGTGACAAAAAAACTCTCATTCATACCTTCCACACCACGTTCACCGAGCCTCTCTACCCAGCATTCAGTGTTCATAGTGGAACTTTGACCTTGTGCAGGGTTGTGAAGCTGCAAATGGAAACTGTGAGTATTTCTGGTTCTTCGGTAGCACCAACATCACAAGTTTGTGTGACTAAAAAAAATATTTAATTTGCCCTCTCTGGACTTTTAGGCTCGATCAAGCTTCACACCTGAGATGAGAAAAGAAAGAGCAGGCGTTTCATACAGGTACGACACGCAAGCCTCGATGTGCCCACTGTGAGATTATGTCCTCTGCAAACACAGACGTGCTCAGAGTGCTTTACATATGCAAAGAAGAATGTGGGGAAAATCAAAAATGCTTTTAACAAATGTGTGATTGGTTGAGTCTGAATGTCAGATTGTGTCTGACAGTAGATGGTGGTCACCAATTGATGGAGTATTGGGAGCCAATTAATATACTGCTGTTTACAAGGTTGAATGTCAGTTTGAGTCTTTTTTTATGTGTTATATTTTTGCAACTTCCCAACACACACATTTGTTAACTTTAACATGGCCTTGGTTAGTTATACCATAACTGGTTAAAATACCAAAGTCATGGTCAATAGAGGCAGTGGCTGACCATCAACTCCTACACACGAGTAAGTAAAGTTTTAATTAAAAGAGACGGACGTGATCATCTAACTGTCATCTGATGGAAACGTTGAAGAAGGCCATAGATGCTTCTTCCTCTTTTAGGATTCTCTCACTAGTATAATAACATAAAGCCTTGGGTTTTACTTTACAGTATGAATTCTATTGTGATGACAGTCTTGCACCATATAAATTAAATTAGACTGAATTTAACAGCTACAGCATTGAGCTCCATGTTGAACCGTTCTGTGTCGTTTAGGTTCCTGTTTCCTGGTCCAGGGTTGTTCCAGTGTTCTTTGACTGGTCTGGTCTTTGATGTGACTCGTGAGAGTGAGGTCACCTACAAGACTCTGATCTGGGATCCTCTGGTCCTCCAACCAGCGCACAAAGTGGCCGGAGGCCCGCTGTTCGGCATCGAGTGTCTTCAGGACTCTATACGTCAGCTGCACCTCCCACACTGTGAGCCTGAGCCGGGTAAGGACGCCACTGAAACACCTGAAGGAGAATTAAACCTGCAGAAAATGCTCTGATTTGCTTTCCATGGAAAGTTTCTGGAGGCTGTTGCAGTGAACGAAGCTGTGTGTTTTCCCAGCACTGGTCTCTGACAGCATCTCTGTGGTCCACATCACGGATGATGGCATGAGCATCATACAGCCTCTGGAGATCACTGAGACTCACGTGGTCGTGGACGTCCCTCACCTCTCCGCCTTCGGCCTCGTCTGGGATCTCGTTGAGCGGTTTTTCAATTACATGACGAAACCCGTTCGTGGCCAAGTCCTGCTCTTCCTGAGAAACAGGCCACGCCCCATCCTCAGTGTGATGCTGCTCCCAGGAAACGTCCCTCTGCACGACGTATGACTTTATCATGAAATCATTAAATGGCTTCTGCATGAATAAATCCTCTGATTATATCTGTTTGCTGTGAAGCTCTGAAACTATTCATGCACTAAGAAAATGTTGTGATGTCTCTGAAGGTGAAAGTGCAGCACGCTGCTTCAGAGCACATCGAAGCGCCGTCCTTCTGTTATTTCCACAAAGGTCAAAAGTACAGTCTGAGCAGCGCCCCGCACCACTTTAAAATACAGCCTGCAGTGAGTATCAGTCGCTGAGTGTCAGCAGACACTTTGTCCACAAAGCTGTTTTAAATTGTTTCCATTTCGCTTCAGCGTGCAGAGTTTTTTGAAAATTACGGACCAAATTACCACCCGACCTTTGAGATCATCCTGACAACGAACGCAGAGGAAGTGATGCTGATGGTGCAAGATCCCGAGGAGACACGAGTGTGGGAGCACGACCTTCATCTGCCCGGTGAGCCTTAACTCAGCACAAACTGAAACCTGACAGAGATCCAACCTGCACATAAAAGAGAAACGAACTTAATTCTCTCAAATCTCCGTCCTCGTTTCACTGTTAAATAAATGTAAAATAATAATAAGTTTATTAAGTTTACACCGCTGTGCGTCTGCCTGATTCAGTCTGCGCTCTGAATTTCATCCACAGTCAGTTTAGTTCGAAGCACATCTAACAGCAGCACACATTAACCAAAGTGCTGCACAGCTAAATGCAATAAAAGCCTCGAGGCTGAACAAATGACGAAAAAAGTCTTTGTCCAGATGAACAGAATCAACTTCCTGGGATTTTTAAAAAAAAGATTACTTGGAGGTGAAACACCCCATCTCATTAATACTATAAACCAGTGTGTCACACAAAGCCAGGATTATCCCACAGGAAGGAAACAGCCTGGTACATACACACAGCATTCAGGTGCAGCCAAAGGAAATCCTGCTTCTACTAAAGGCACGTAACAATGCCTTCAGATCAGGTGACGCTCAGGCCTGCAGTACGTCCAGGGCAGACCTGAAGAGGGGCACCAAGAAGGCCGAGCACAGCTACAAGCTGGAGGAACACTTTGTCAACTAGGACCCACGATGCCTGTGGCTGGGCATTCACACCATGAATGTTTCCTCCTTCAATGAGCTTCTACGCTCATTTTGACAAGGACGACAAGGAAAAGTCTGCCAGAACCCTGCCCTCTGATGACTGCCATAACCTTCTCTTACCACCATAGATGTCCATAACGCACTGAGCAGTATCAACGCTCACCAGGCTGCTGGCCCTGACGGCATTCCTGGACATGAGCCTCCAGCATGTGCTGAGCAGCTTGCAGGAGTCTTCACAGACATCTCTAACACGTCGCTTGCCCAGGCAGTAGTACCAGCGTGCTTCAAGACCACCTTCATCGTGCCAGTGCTGAAACGCTCATCACCAGCATGCCTGAACGACTTCAGGTGGGAGAGGACAGACACCCATGTCCCCATCTACATAAATGGCACAGCTGTTGAACGAGTCTCCAGCTTCAAGTTCTTGGGGGCCCACATCTCTGAGAATCTGACCTGGTCAACTGACACCTCCAGCCTGGTCAAGAAGGCCCATCAGTGCCTCTTTTTCTTGAGGACACTGACGAAGAATCACCTGTCTTATGACATACTGGGTAACTTTTACTGGTGTGTGATGGAGAGCATCCTGACCAACTGTGTCCCAGTCTGGGAACTGTTACCGAACGCTAGGCACTGCAGTGAAAACCACCCAATGCATCACAGGGACTCCACTTCCTGCCGTTGAGGATGTCCACAAGAAGACATGTCTACGCATCAATTCTCAGGGACTCCTCTCATCCTGCCAATAAACTCTTCCAGCTCCTCCCCTCCAGAAGGCGCTACAGGAGCCTTCAGACTAAAACCAGCAGGTTTAGGAAGAGCTCCTCCCCACAGCTGTCACCGAACTGAACTCACCCCCCCGCTGAACATTTCCATCCACACTCACCTAACTCCTACACTCCTCCTCCCCCCATCCCTCCCAGTGACCATGATCATGACTGTCATTCATTCTCAACGTTCACCACATGCTCACATTGGTTACTGCTGTAGTTTAGGACACTGACATAGTCTCTGTTATAGTGCGTCCACTGTTCAGAGAGCTACGCTTCCACGGCTGTAGATGTATTCATAGCGCTGTTTACCACACATCATGCATCTGTATCGATGTAGCACATCTGTACATTTGGTCTGTATAGCAATATAAACATCTGTATATTTACTTACTATTTGTACATAATCTGTGCATAACTGTTCCCACCTTTTATCCAACGCTAATCTGTATGTAATCTGCTCCTATTGCACTTCTGATTAGATGCAAACTGTATTTCTTACCCTGTATTCAAACACGTGTAATGACAATAAAGTTGAATCCTAATCCTACAAAGTCTCATTAGATCACCAGATAAATGTGCTGCTGTAAACAATCCCTGAAGAAAAGTGTCTCCTCTGTAAAAACTGTATTTTTAAAGGACAGAAATCACACGACCGTTGTGTCCATTAAAGAAAACCAGCTTTGGGACGTTTGCTGTCCTGCTCAGAATCACTGATCTGATTTGTAGAAATGTTGCACTGAAATGTGCTCACTGTGTTTCTGACTCTAAACGTATTTTTTCAGCTTCATCCTCGGCTGACTCTCCAGGTGGAAGTCCTCTTCAGATGGGGAACAGCGCCTCAGCAGAGAAGCTGCGACTCGCTCGCACAAACTTCGTCGATAAAGTGTCGGATCCGGTTCTGAACAAGCTGCTGGACGAGCTGCAGCACGTCACCGTGCTAACTGATGCTGAGGGCGAAGCGGCCAGAGCCAAACCGAGAGGCGAGAAAGCTCGAGACCTGATCGACATGGTGCGAAAGAAAGGAGCTGAAGCAAGTTCAAAAATGATCGCCGTCTTTTACGCCAACGATCCGTATCTGTGCAAAGAGCTCGGCTTAATGTGAAGCACAAATCTGTGACACGAACAAAGAGACTCGTTGAACTAAAATTTCCTTTCTTTCTTCTTAAAGTCACGATTATGTTTCCACTGATCACACTTCTTAGAAAGCAGATGAGCTTAGACGTGAGGGGAGACGTCCAGTAAATATCCATAAAAGAAAAATTCCAGTTTTTTCTGCAAAGAATGTCTGAAATGTATTTTATAAATGTTAGTGTTTGTCAGACAGGAGGACAGAGAAAGTAGAAAGAGTGAGACACAGCTGCACTGGTGAATGATGTGAGCTGGACTCAGATCAGTGAAGCCAGCAGAGCCTGTGGTCGTGAACCATGCTTATGTGGAAATACAACACAAAGGTTAATAAAATGCAGCGAAGGCCTGCAGTGTTGAGTGTAACGTGTTATTACTTGTGTTATAAAGGTTCAGTTCTTTGTGCAGCAGGTGGATGAAAAGAAAAAACCATCAGCTGAGTTTTTGGGACTTTCAGTCTGAATGAACAGGACGATGCAGGAAGTGTGTTTTTCATTGAAGTATTAAGACTCGTAACACTATATATGCAAATGTTTCTATACCTGTGAGCTGTGCTCTGTAAACTGACGCAATAACAGTATCAACACTTAAACACACGAGTTCCAATAAAAATGCTTTGATTGTGTTTGTTTGCGTTCTGTGGTTTAAGCGTTTATTTCCTGCACGTTGATGCTTGCTCATAGAGGGTCATATGATTGTTGGGTTTTTTTCTCTGTATCTATGAAGCGCCTTGAGGCGACTTATGTTGTGATTTGGCGCTATATGAATAAAATTGAATTGATGTTCGACGCCGTGATGTTCTGTTCTCGATGTCATGGCAAAAACTTCATCTTTATGAAGCAGAAGAAGCCACGTGTTTATCACCCGCTGCAGCTTGTGTCTGTTTTTTAAAGGCTTGTTTTTTACTTATTGCTCAGCTTCAGGACAGGTGAGTTTCCTTCCCTCACCTCCTCTCCCCTCATCTTAGACCCTCCCTCTTAAGATGCAAACAGAAGAGGCGAGGAAGAGACAGGAGGAGAGAGGAGTCAAGGCAGCAGGTAGGAGACAGAGGAGTCGTTGCTCTGAAACCATCGTTCTAATGAACAAACACTTACAACATGATATGTAACGGTAATCAGTTACATGTAACTGATTACAGTTACAGTTACTGAGGAAGAACATGCAGTTAAATCTGAATGTTTGCTTTTTCGTCTCCTTTAAATTTGAACTGGTTTCCAAACCATGAGCAGCTCAGGTGGAGCTCAGCAGTCAGGTCAGCTGGTCTGAAGTCAGTTGCTTTCCACTGCAGCTGTGCGCTCACTCAGGACAGCCTGAACATCTGGCTCAGCCATCCTTCCTCCTGCCCATGTTTTTGGTGTTAATATGACTTTTATTTTTATTTGTTCTCTCATCAGCTTCAAAACATAATGTAGCTCAAATCACTACAAGATTAGCTATGTGTGCTCTATAAATAAATAAAGATTGTTGTTGTTGTAATGAAAACCTTCTGATCCACTAGTTTGTGGGATATTTATTTATATTCTGGTCAAACGTGGCTTCAGTGGTTTTTTCTACGGTCCAGATGTGGATCCAGGTGACAGGAAATGCTTTTAATTTGAAGCACTGATGATGATGAACACCTCACATGACTCGTACCTTTGCAGGCTCAGCATCCATTAGCCACACCCACTAACAGCAGCTTCCCTCTACATCACTGCTCTTTGAAAACTACTGGAATTGGTGACCTGGAAAATTAGGCCCTGGCGATCTGTTACCCTCAGAAGGCCGGAGTAACCTGTAAGAGCCGTTTATACTCACGTAGATTAATACTCAGGTTTTTACCTTTTTTGTTTCACAAAGCGTTAAAAAGGGAAAATCCCCAACTTAGACATCACAGGATATTTTATTAAAGCAGCTTAGCAACAGTACAACAGAAACTCTTCTTTGATTAATAATAAAGAGGATTTATTTTTAGCAAAAGCACATGTGGATAAACTCTGGTATAGTACTCTTCATCATTTCAAACATAAAAGGCTGGAGGTTGACCTTTAACCTCTCAGGTGTGGTCAAAGGAGCTTGCAAAGAAAGGCGTCTGGACTTCTTTAAGTTACTTGAAGATCAGTTTGATGTAGTCTCTCTCTTCACTTGCATACCCACCACGGAGGCCGTGGAGACGGTCAGAAAACGACTACAAGAAGACAGCTCCTTGGAGGACAGGACCAACTTCACACCCGATCAGATCTGCACACTGTTAGACCTCTGCCTCACCACTACATACTTCAAATACAACGAAGGCTTTTACAGACAAAAACATGGCTGTGCCATGGGCTCCCCCGTGTCACCTATTGTAGCCAACCTTTACATGGAGGAAGTGGAAAGGAACCCAGCCACTGGTACAGATATGTGGACGACACCTGGGTCAAAATCAAGACACAAGAAGTGGAATCCTTCACTGCGCACATTAACGCTGTGGATAAAAACATCAAGTTCACCAGGGAAGACACAAAGGACGACTGTTTGCCTTTCCTGGACTGCGCTGTGCACATTGAAGAGAACGGCAACCTCAACATCGAAGTTTACCGGAAGCCCACACACACGGACCAGTACCTCCTCTTTGACTCCCATCACCCTCTGGAACACAAACTTGGAGTAATTAGGACCCTACACCACCGGGCAGAACATGTTCCCTCTAAGCCTGAAGGAAAAAAGAAGGAACACACACATGTAAAGGAAGCACTCAAAACGTGCGGCTATCCTAAATGGGCGTTCTTAAAGTCAGCAAAGAGGCACAGAAAAGAAGACCAGACACCAGCGAGGGAGGATAAGAAGGACAGACGCAACAACATTGTCATCCCCTATGTAGCCGGTGTATCAGAGAAACTCAGGAGAGTTTTCTCCAAGCATGACATCCCGGTGCATTTCAGACCCAGCAACACGCTCAGACAGAAACTGGTTCACCCGAAAGACAAAACGCCAAAACACAGACTTAACAATGTGGTGTATGCTGTACAGTGCAGCGAGGAATGCCCAGACCTCTACATCGGAGAGACCAAACAGCCACTTCACAAGCGCATGGCACAACACAGAAGAGCCACCTCCACAGGACAAGACTCAGCAGTCCATCTGCATCTAAAGGTCAAAGGTCACTCTTTGAGGATGCCAATGTTCACATTTTGGACAGAGAGGACAGATGGTTTGAAAGAGGAGTGGGCTGGCCTTGTGTTTTGCTTTTTCTTTTACCTGTTTCTTGCAGGTAGGTGGAGCTGACCCAATTATTGATGCAGCACACCTGAGAGGCCAGTCCCAGTGTATATAAAGACACCTTGACTGAACCAGTGGTGGCTGGCTTTGACGCTCTCTCTGGCACTTGTCATGTTCATTTGGAAGTTTCAGTTATGGCTGTTATGTCCTTTAAATTGTGTTTAAGTTGCTTTACCTTATTTTCATTAAATATGTCTTACAGTCTTTAAAAGCCTGTGTGTGGTCTCCCATTTGTTTGTCACTTCCTATGAGCCGGGTTGTGACATATACATGTGTATAAAGAGGAGTGAAAGAAGCATCTATGTCCACTGTGAGCGACCATCTTTGAACAGAGGCGGGGTTTACGACACCAACTCTCTGCCATCTATAATCCAGTTTTGAGATCCTTCCCAGACGCCTTAACGCCCACTCACATCCTGGGCCATCTGACCTCAGGAATTCACATGATAAGGTGGGGCCAGGTTTCACAATGAACTCACCCGAAACTCTGGCTGATTGGGACCCACACCCAGTTTCACACCTTGGCTCAGGCGATTAGAGGATCATCAGGGGGTCCTTTTGTCCCTCTGTGGGGGGAAACTCCCACTAGGTTTATATCTGGGACTCTCCACCATTTGACCTTAGAACTGAAGAAGCTTCTTGGATGAGAGGTGAAACGTCTTCAAGCAACTTAAAGAAGTCCAGACGCTTTTCTTTGCAAGCTCCTTTGACTACGATGACCTGGATGACTGAGAACCTTCAGACATAAAAGGACAATGCAGTTTAAAAATGAAAAGTTTTATATCACAAGTTGTGAATTATCTGTTTGCCCAGCTGGTAACATCCGGTGGACAAAGATTGTTTCTCCGTCTCTTCTTTATTTTATTTTTTCACTTTTTAGTTCATTTGCTGTTATAATGCTGATACAGATACTGTCTGCAGCTTTATCAGCAAACCGTTAATACCAGCAAACATATCAGCCTCATATTTCAGGCTCTACTATTATTTTTATAAAGTTTCTTATATCTGAAACCAGGAAAGAAACCTTGATCATGAAAACACAGGAGAATCTGATGGATTCATGATGGTGCTGAGAATGAGTCAAGAATAAAAAGTGTGTGAGTGAGTTGCTGTGGGTGTGATCGGATCACGAGTGACACACTAATGAGGAATGCACAGAAACAACAACTCTGAATTATTTATGAACAGCTGAGCACAGACGGGGAGAGGCCGAGTTTATTCTGTAAGGCTGCAGATATCAGGCTGTAAATGTCCTTGTTTCTACTGGATATTCTAACATGCTGCTCTGCAGACTTTACCTGTCCTGTCAGATCATGTTTCACCTGGAAAACTGAGAACAGGAAGTGTGGAGTTTGTTTTCAGCTACTTTATTAAATCCAAACTCCTCTCAGCCGCCGTCAGTGTTACAGGTCATGAGCTGATGGCAGGAGGCACAGTCGATGGGATATGATCACCGACGAGGACAGGATGTGATGCACAGGCTCTCCCGGTTCATGGGGAATGTTTTTCACCATTTTCTTTGTTCTAATGTTTTTCACCATTTCAGCACACATGCAGACGTGATGTCTGGCTTCAGATGTGAGAGTCAGTTAATGACTATGTGAAGGTCGGGCTGTAACTGTTCATGTGTTACTATTTATGACTCTAATAGCTGATCTGTCTCAGTGACGTATGTTTGGTTTTTTGGAATCACGTATAAAAAAGTGTAAAACAGTCTGAGTGAAAACAAGAAGGTCAGAGAACATTTCCTCCAGATTAATGTCACAGTTTACAAACCAAAGATATGAGAGGCAGCGACGTTTGTGCAGGTTAAACACTGTGAAGTGTTTACAGGGAGCACACGTGACAGCGCTACAAATATACAGCAAGGCAATCAGAGAAGATGGAGACAAGTAACCACCAAAATAACAGTTATAATAGAACTGAAAGAAAACAGGAAGGTGAGAATGTAAACAGTAAACAAAGTAATAATCAGCCTTTGAATATTCAATAAGAAACAGGAGAGAAACACTTTGTGCGACAGCTTCATAGAGAGAGAACATGAAAACACAGCGAGGCGGCCAGAATAAGCACCAGACCTCCACCTCCTCCGGCTCTTTCTTTGTCTCTTGCAGGGTTATCAAGAATGTACCACACCATACACAATTCCCTCTGCAACCCACCCACAGACCCACAGACCCTCATTATGGTGTGGAGGGGGCTTCACAGACCTGCACACTCACATTCCAACTGTTATGAATCACATCTGTTTGTCACGCAGCTGAAAAGAAACTCTGACTTACAAACACTTGTAATGCTTTTATTAAAATTTATTATAAAACAGACCATGGGGATTCCCTTATATGGCAACAACAGCAACTGTTGTGTGTGGTGAGTGGTGTGTGTAGCGGTTTTTGATAAGGACAACATGTGCGGTTGCCCAGGGCGACATCGTGCTGGGGGCGGAGTCATGGCATCTGCAAAAACATTTAAACCCACCAAACAGGCTAGGACCGCCCCTGTGTGGGCACCCTATCATGTAAACAAACGTGAGCACATTTTGTTCTAGTCTTTGTTTTCTTGTACTGGGATTCAAACCCACAGCCTTTTGAATCAGCTTCCTGTGCATCTCTTACTAAAACGTGCTCACATAAAATCTGTTAAACAGTCTTTTCTTTGCTTTTATTCATTGTTTTGGTGTAAAACTTGTCACCAGTGAGACGCTTCTGCCCCCTGGTGGTGCTGTGTGGTCATTGCATTGATGTGCTCTCTCTTTACATTTACTTCATAATAAACTGTTGTTATGATTTAGTGAATTTAATGTAAAAATGTATTTAAAAGATAAAACATCACAGAGCTTCATTGACTGAGATCAGTAAGATGAGTGGGCATGTTCATTAACATTGACAGCAGCTGTGCTCCAAACGTCACTAAGCAGCTCTGCAGTGTGTGAACCGTTAGCTCTTTGCTATGGTCATTTTATCCACGTGGAGCTGAGGATGTGTGTGGATGTTTCCTGTTTGTGGTTTGGAAGTCAAAGAGTAGGAAGAGAAACACTCACAAAGCTTCTGTTATTTATTTGATGTATTTGCAGCAACAGTCGGGAAGATGAGAATAAATGACATCAAATCTAATTTGTGAACAGCTTGTCAGTGACCACAAGGGGGCGCCCTGTGAGCTGACGGAGGCAGTGATGAGCTCTGTGAGCTGCTGGAGTTTGAACTGTGGACAAAAGTGTGAAATTAAAGATGATTGGATGATGATTAATCCAAATCATCAGCACCAAAGGAAAACTTCTTTCCAGAGTCCAGCTTTCCTCGGACGTTCCAGCCAGTCACACCTCTCGTGTGACGAGCACCAGTTTGTAAGACACTGCTGTCAGACTGGAGCCATCACTGGTTCCTGATACAGCTGCTAAAATCCCACCCTGGAGAAGGAGAAACACGGGAATAAGCAACGCAGTGAAACATGGGAGCGGAGACGGCTGCTTCTCCTGGTGGAGAGCAGCCAGAGGGAGAATGTGATCTGTGTGGAAGTTCATGTTCCAGCAGAAGAACTGTGACTGCAACACACTCCTGACTTTAGTGTTTCATGTGTTTGTTGTGTGTCTGCATGTAGTCAGCTTCCACTGAGCTGCATGAACTCTGAGCTGCCGGTGTGAGCAGGTACCCACCTGTCTGCTGTCAGCTGTGCCAGTGTAAAGGACCACTTCATCCACAGGAGCTGTGAAAACACAAAGTTCATGGAAGCCTCAGGTTAGACATGTGACACCTACTCTGTCCACGTCTGCATGATACTCTGCAGCGTCAGGAGTAACTAGTTACTACTGTGATCAGTTACAGTTGGTGAATGTTGGAGCTGAGTAAATGTAGAAAACAGCTGTGTGTGTCTCTTGTTGCAGCTTGTTTAAAGACAGCCGGCTCATCACAGCTGGATCAGCTGGAACACATGTGACAGGAAATGACCTCCAAGCAGCAGACAGGTGACACTCACCTGGCAGCACTTTCACACTTTCAGCTTCAAAGGATTTTTGGCTCAGTTGTTGCGTCTGTCAGAACCAGGTGGACCTGAGTCGGTCCAGTGAAAGTACTCGGATTACTTCTTACATTTGTAGTAACTAATAATCTGTCATGTGTCTGCTCACAGCTGTTTCTGTGCTGGAGGACCGCTTTGGTTTGGTGGTTTGGTCATGGGGGGGTTGTTGCTGCACTTCCTCCATAAACATGTTTTACACTTTGATCTTCACGTCTCAGAACAAGATTACAAATATGAAAAGAAATATTCAAGAACACAAACCTCTGCCTGCAGCTTGTAGGAGTTTAAACTTGTCTTGGACAGGATGCTTCCTCTTCATGATGATGACGATGACGATGATGATGGTAGCACTCAGGACACAGAAGATTATAATGAGGATGTTATCTGTCAAACAGGAAATCAGATGTCAGCAAACACAGTGAACAACATGTTTAAAATCACAGTTGGAAATAATCTCACAGTTTCTTGGTTTATTCGAGCTGTTGGTGTCGTTGTCGTCTGTGTCTCCACAGGTGGTTCTCACACGGACAGGAAGAGTTTTCTCCTCTGCAGGGTTTGCAGCCACACATCTGTAAGAGGAGCTGAAGTCCTGTTTGTGCACAGTGAGAGGCAGAGAGAGCGCAGAGCTGCTCTGGTTCAGCATCTGCTCGTCTTTGAACCACAGCAGTGTGGTCTCTCTGTCCACCCAACACAGTAAGGAGCAGCTCTCAGAGCTCACACTCACTTTCTTCACTGCAGGAGTTGGTACAGGATCTGGAGGAGAAAAGTGATGGAGAATAAAAATTAACGTCAGAAAAATGTTTTTAACTTTCTGCTTTTTGTTAGTGAACATCATCAGGACAGCAGAGCTCTGGTTATTGCTGCTTTAATGCAGTCAGTGAACATTAATATGAAACTACTCATCTCAAGTCAAGTCAACTTTATTTGTCAATTCTGCCACATGTACAGGACATACAGAGAATAGAAATTTCGTTACTCTCAAACCCTAGTGATTAAAAAATGCAAATAAAATAATTAAAAAGTAAAAATTTAAATAAATACAATACAATTTTACGTATAACAAAAAAAAGCTATGCAATATACAATATACAATATTCAAGTAAGTATCTCAAACACAGCAGAGACAGCAGACTGCCAAACCTCCATTATATCCATTTGAATCTCATCATAAAGGTTTATGAGGGATTTCTCAGGTTTCCTGTCAAACTAGCATCACTATCAGCAGAAGGTGCTGAAGAGGACACAGAAGAAACAAACGCTCTGATTCAAATCCTCATGAAAGGAAGAAAAAAGCCCATTAACAACAACAAAAAGCTCTAAACAGGTTAAACTCCTGAGGCTCCTGCTGGGCACCACAGCTCATCCATGATGCTTTGTCCACATTCGTCTAGTTTCACTTTGATTCTGATGTGAAAAGATGATAAAAATCCAAATTTCATGTGAAGAAGACACAGGACAGGGAATTCATTGAACTGGAGGAGCCATCAGAGCATCACCAAAGAAGTAGTAATTATTTATAATTTTATTATAAATCAGGATTTAAAATCCAGGCTATAAATGTTTAATTCAACCTTCACGTCTCTGCACAGATATGAAGTCGTGCATTTTTCTCAGGAAGTGACTGAACTGCAAACAAACATGCAGCTACAGCTCAGCATGTTTGTTTGAGCTCATCTCAAAGTGATGGAGCTGTAAAGGCGACTTTGATGTTTCTGACAAATCACTTTCATGAAGAAGTCTCAGCTGTACGATGAAGCTGAACGACACCATCACTGATATGAAACTTCAGGAGCTGCTGAGGACAAACAGCCTGAGTCAGACTTAAGGAGGTTGATAGTTTTCACAGGTTTATGAAACAGGATGTTGGATCTAAAGGATCTACTCTCTGTTT